CAGTGTGTGCGCTCAGTAACTGAGGTTAAAAGGTTTCTCTGTTAACATGTGAGGTATGGTCAGGGGCAAATCTCTGGTTAGGGTGTGAAGAAAGTGGGAGAGAGTGTTGCTTTCTATATACAGTACAGATAGATTCCACCCCATTATAACACGTCAGGAAATTAGATATATAATAGTCAAAACGTCTTAAAGTGCTTCACGACTAATGATGAATAATAATAATAATCCTTGCATTCGATACAGCGCCTTTCATGCCAGCAAGACATCCCAAAGCGCTTCACAAGATCTGCTGAAAGTGTAGTGACTGTACGTTTTCATAGGGGAACATTTTGCAATGGCCCCACAACAATGGAGTGAGTGACCGATTTTATTTGGGGATTGTTGGCCAGAACATTGGGAGAGAGAAACTCCATTCCTTTTTTTTAATAGTGCTATGGGGTCTTTAACATCCACCTGAACAGGCATGGTCTTGCCTCAATAACAACCACAACAACAACTTGCACTTATATAGCGCCCTGCTCGCAGGGTAGCGTCCCAGAGCGTCTCGGTTTAACGTCTCCCACAAAGCGCTCCTCCAGCGCTGCCTTGGGAGTGTCAGCCCGAACTGTGAGCTCAAAGTCCTGACGTGGGGCTTGAACCCACAACCTTCTGACTCAGAAGCAAGAATGAGCCAGGCTGACACGTGTACGGGTGACTGTATATACGTGAAAATAGTAATAATCCTTGCATTGCATACAGCGCCTTATCAAATCGTTGAGACGTCTCAAAGCTTCACAGAATATATTGTAAAGCGGATTGTGGGCGAAATGCGTCAGCCAATTGGGCACTGCAGTGTCTCACAAACAGTCATGGATTGAGTGACCCAATTTTTTTTGAGGGATTATTACCCCTGAAAGTGATCCGCCAATCAACTAACCACCGGACTCCGACTTACTGCAAGGAAAACAGAGGTGAGTGGAGTAAGGAAACTTGCCTGAAGTTTCGCCCCGCCCGGGAATCAAACCCAGGTCTTCTCGCTTGGGAGGCGAGTGCTCTAACCTTACGCTGCAGGAATCCACAACACAACTCCTCCAAATTAAAATCATTAAAAGGTAAATCATTAAACAGCATCCAGCTGACGACATTCGAGAATAAACTAGAATTTGTGAGGAGGTTTCTGGTTTCTGTCCTGAAATTGCCCTTCACAGTTCAAACTGAGCCTTGTGGCATTCTGAAGTATTGATTTGGATTTTTTTTTCGATTCGTAATAAAGTTTTACACACCTCTAGGAGATCCCCACTGAGCCGTCTTCTCTCAAGACTGAAGAGCCCAAGCTTGTCTAATCGTTACTCACAGCTCATTTCTCTAACCCTCTAACCTCTAATCCTCGTTGCTATCTTCTGCACTGTCTCTAAGGCCCGGGCGCCCTCTTTGTGTCACGGTGACCAGAACTGTACGTCGTATTCAAGGGTCAGTCTGACCAGTGCACTGTACAGCCTGAGATTGAAGTATGGGGATACAAAGTGAACTGATTTAACAATATTGTTTACCTCGTTCGAGGAATCTTGTTAACAGTTGCTATGACTCTTTAAGCTGTGAGAACAGGTGTGAAGCATCACCCAGTGTAAACGACGAGACAGCTTTACACTTGGGAAAGGGAGTTTCTCCTGATGTCCTGGCCAACAATCTCCCCAGATAAAAGTAGTTATTAAGGGCAATATCTACTCTGATTTCCAGAGCAGCGCTGGGGGAGGGCTGCAATGTTGGAGGTGCTGTCCTTCGGATGAGGCATTAAACCAAGGTCCCTTCCATTTGATCAGGTTAAAGATCCCGTGATGCTATTTGAAAGGAATGGGGAGTTTCTCCCAGTAATTCTAGCCAACAATCAATCAAGAGAAAAAAATTGCTGGTCGTTCACGCCATGGCTATTTACAGTTCCATTCCAACATTTCGCCCACAAAATTATTATGTTTTGCCCACAAAAATATACAGTCAATTCACTTTACAGTATATCCTTTGAAGCGCCTTGAGATGTCTCAAAGACATGATAAGGTACTATATAAAATAAAGTAAGGATTATCAATGCAAAAAACAACAATATTACATTTGTTTTGCGCCTTTCATGTCGGGAGGACGTCCCAAGGCACTGGACATTGTACAGCATTGCAGACCCAAGTTGGGGCCGGGGGGGGAGAAGGGAGGGGACGGGAAGGAGGGTGGCCGATGGCATGGTCGAAGAGGAGGGTTTTGAGGCGGGACTTGAAGGAGGCTAAGGAGGGAGCAAGGCAGAGTGATTGGGGGATAGAATTCCAGAGGTTGGGGGCAGAGTGGCTGAAGGCTCTCCCGCCAATGGTGGGGCGGGTGGGTCAGGGGACGGGGAGCAGGCCGGTTAAGCGGAGGGAGCGGGAGGGTTGGAAGGGGGTTAGGGGGTCGCAGAGGTAGGGTGGGGCAAGGCCATGGAGGGTTTTGTAGATGAGGACCAGGATCTTGAACTGGATCCTCTGAAGGATAGGGAGCCAATATTATAGAATATACTGTGAAATGCTCTGAAATCTCTAGTCCTAATAAGTCAGGATACCAAATTTACAAAGATTTATGCAAGGATTGTTGTAACTTGTTTTAATAATAATAATAATAATTACTCTTGCATTTGGTATATAGCGCCTTATCACGTTGGAAGCACGTCTCAAAGTACTTCACATAATTTACTGTGAAATGAAGTGACTGTAGATTTGTAGGCAAATGCAGCAGCACAATTATGCACAGCAATGTCCCACAAACAGCCATGAAATGAATGACCAATTTTTATGGCGCTATTCGAAAAGAGTAGAGAGTTTCTTCCAGTGTACTGGATAACCATCCCCCCAAGTAAAAAAATGGTCACTCACTCCATGGCTGTTCGTGGGACATTGCTTTGCGCAACTGGCTGCTGCATTTCTCCCACAGAATACACAGTCACTCCACTTTATAGTATATCCTATGAAGTGCTTTGAGACATCTCAATGATGTGATGAGTTGCTAAATCAAATGCAAGGATCACTGTTATTATTATTACATTTTCAATCCCAATTAACATGTTACACATCTCGATGAGATCCCCTTTGAGTTGTCTTCTCTCAAGAATTTTCGAATCGTGGCTCACGGCTTGTTACAGATTCTGTATCAAATAACTGTTATCATTATAATCCAGAAAAGGGGTTATTTGAATAATAATAATAATAATCATAGAATCACAGAATCAGAGAATGTTACGGCACAGAAGGAGGCCATTCGGCCCATCCTTGCATTTGATATAGCGTTTTTCACATCTTCTCGATGTCTCAAAGCGCTTCACAGAATATACTGTAAAGTGAATTGACTGTATATTTTGTGGGCGAAACGTGGCAGCCAATTGCACACAGCAGTGTCCCACAAACAGCCGTGGACTGAGTGACCAAATTATTATTATTTTTTGAGGGATTATTATCCCCGGAAAAACAATTTACCAATCAACTAACAACCGAGTTCCTACTTACTGCTAGGTAAACAGAGGTGCGTGAAGTAAGGAAACGTGCCTAAGACTTCGCTCCGCCTTGGAATCAAACCCAGGTCTCTTGCTTGCGAGTCGAGTGCACTAACCACTGAGCTACAGGACTAACCTGTACATCAAACACTCTCGCTGGCAGCTGAGTATTCTTGACATGAGTAGGTTTAAACTCTGTTTTTTAATGGCTTTTACAATCCAAGTTATGCAATCTATAGAGCGTCTTTCACGTCAGGAGGACGTCTCAAAGCGCTTTTCAGGGTTCCGTGTGATTAGCTGAGGACAGTCAGCGAAACCTTAAGGTGGGTTAAACGCTATTGGCCACTGATCGGCCCCGCTCCCCACCTGCCCAAGTGGATCTGCAGAAATCATCAAAGAAACTGTGTGAGGTGAGGTGCGAGCAAGCCCACCGATAACACACACTCACACGCTTCCCCTCACAACATCAAACCCCCTAAAATCAGAACCTGGTTGAGAGGCACCGACTTCGATCAGAAATCAATTGCATTCCACGCTGACCCACATCGGGAGGCAAGGATTCAGGGAGCAAACGCAGAGTCTGGCTGGTGTTCGAGGCAGAGCTGGACCTTCGCGATACTATCCTGATATCTCACTTACGCAGGCAGTGATGGGAAGATATTGCAATATCACCCACAACTCAGTCAAAACCTAGGCAGACTGTAGGCATCCACCTCAACAGGCATCAGGCGGGATCTCGGTTTGCTCTGTGCAAACTGAAGCAGTTGCTGCATTTGACAACGATTACCCAGGAAGGGCTCGGAGATGTTTGGACGTGGCTAAGAGTTTGTAGTAATGATTAACACTTGTTGTGAGTCGATGGATGAAGGAATCGCGTCACCTCTAGGTTAGCCACTTTCAGCTGACCTGCCGTCCAGCAGTCCTTGGCAATCGGCAGCTGCAAACATCCGACTGAAAGCCCATTGGCCCCTCACAGCTTCCAGTCGAGGATGTTTACAGTAGCTCACATTGCCGACCAGCCCAGCCCCCACCCGCACCCCCACCCGAGTCCCCAGCCCAGCCCGCATCCCCAGTCCAGCCCCCGCCCCGCTCCCAACCCAGCCCCTACCCCAGCGCAGCCCCCAGCCTAGCCCCTATCCCAGCCCCAAGCCTCCAGCCCAACATAGCCCCCAGGGCAGCTCTGAGCCCAGCCCAAAGCCCCCAGCCCAGCCCCACCCCCAAGCCCCCAGCACAGCACACAGGCCAGGCCAGCCCCACTCACCCTAGCCCACAGTCCCCAGCCCGAGCTATCAGCCACCAGCCCACTCCCCAATCCCCCGCCCACATCCCTAGTCCCCAGCACAGCCCCTAGTCCAGCATTCCCTCCACACAGGACCACCCTAGCACCACACGGTACCCACACTCCAATGTCCCCTCTTTAAGCTGCCGAGACAGAGAGAGAAAGGGAAGGAAAGAATGAAAGAAAGGAAGAAAGCAGACAGTGTAACTCGCACAGTTGAAGAAAGCAGTGAGAACAAACCTTTGATTAATCGAGGATAGGGAGATCCTGAACTTTCACACAATAACCAAAACCATTCTGATCCACGAACGCAAGGCACCGTGTTGATCCCAGCAAACCACAGACAAACCTGGGCTCGTTCTGTATCCTTCGATCCCTGTTTCAGACCTGACGTGCAGCCAAGAGAGGAGGGAGGTGAGGGGTGGGTGGAGAGTGGGTGGGGGGAATGACATGACACACATTTCCAACGCTGTAGCCCCAAGTCTCAAGCCCCAGAATTTGCTCATAGTCTCAGCCTTGTCTGCGTTTCATCTTAAAATCTAATACAGTGCAGAATTCTGGAAATCCTTTAACCCTGTCCTGACTTGGAAAGCCTGTTTCCGCACCAAATTAAGATCGAGTTAAGTGGATCTGACATTTTGAAGACCAAAAGGTCACTCTTTTCCCAACTGGGATGGGGGTGGGGGTTGAGATGGGAGGCGGTTGGGTGGGTTCACACTTCAGATGGTTCATCTTATCAGATCTGTAGCTCAGTCGGTGTAGCATTGTACAGTGGTAAACACGAGGAGGTGAGAACACACCACTGCCGCTATTTGCTCCCACCCCCCACCCCCCCCCTCCCACAAACACACACCAAGTGACTCCCTACACACAAACATACACACACATACGTGACCTCCAAACACAACTTGATGCTAATGTGACCTCCACACATGGATTATGTAATGCAATCAAACACCCCCATGTGATACTTGATGAGCCTCTCACCCTCTGTGACACAGCGAGCTCACTTTGCGTTGCGATGGACAACGACAAGAAATTGCATGTGTAAAGCGCCTTTCCCGTTGAGAGGATGTCCCAAGGCGCTAGACAGTCGGGGATTTGGGCCCGAGCTGGGAGTTGTGGGGAATCAGGTAGGGGAGGTGGAGGGCAGAGAGGGTAGGGGTAGGAGGGTGGCCGAAGGCACCATCGAAGAGGAGGGCATTGAGTCGGGCCTTGAAGGAGGCAAGTGAGGGAGCGAGGCAAAGGGACTGTGGGATGGAGTTCCAAAGGGTGAGGGGAGAGAGGCTGAAAGCCCGATCGATGATTGTGGGGTGGGGCGGGTGGGCCGGAGTCTGCGGACCGGAGGGAGCGGACAGGTTGATATGGGGTCAGCAGGTCACAGAAGTAGGAACACGCAAGACCATGGAGGGCCTTGAAGGAGAGGACAAGGATTTTGAACTCTACCTTCTGGGGCATGGGGAGTCAGTGGAGTCGGGCAAGGGTAGAGGGTGGTAGGGTCACTGAGCCTGGTTCGGGAGAGGACACAAATTGTCACAGAATTTGGAGAATATTCTTTCCAATCCAGTCCCAATCCATCAGGAAGCGGGCTTCTGGAATAATAGCTGGCTTCCGAACTGAGGCCGGGGTAAGAATGCAATATATACGTATTTTTAATTAAAAAAAGCTCTTCAGGCGAAGACTATCATAAATTTTGGTTCCTCCCCTGTATCCCCCGTCTCCCCTGCCTCTGTGCTATTGAAGCTTCCTGGCGACCAGCGGAACAAAGCAGGGCTTTTATCTCAAAAGCAGGCAATCCCACATTCCTGGGATTCTTACCGCTCAGCAATGCTATCCGAGGCTCCGTGAGTGAGTGAGTGAGTGAGTAAGTGAGTGAGTGAGTGTGTGTGTGTGTGTGTGTGTGTGTGTGTGGAGGGTGGGGGGCTGGAGTGAGAGAAAGGGAGGGAGGGCAGAATATACTTCAACGAGCACTTCTAAAAGATACTCATTCCTGGCGAAGGTGACCTCTGACTGCCTCACGCACCAGCAATGTTATCCGAGACTCTGCGTGTGTGTGTGTGTGTGTGTGTGTTGAGGGAGGAGGGGAGGGATGGATGGAGAGAGAGAGAGAGAGTTAGGGGAGAATATACTTTAACAGGCGTTTCTGAAAGGTATACATTTCTGGATACGCTCAGGCGACCTCACCTGCCTCACACGCCAGGGAAACCCACTCTGCACCCCGCTATAGGGAAGACACACCCCCCACCCACCCCCGCCAGTAAGGACTCCACACATCTGCATGTGGAGTGTAGCGGAGGGAGGTGGGGGGAGAGGTGCACTGAGGAAAGGTCAGGCTGCTTTGCGGCTGGTGTGTCTTACCTTGTCGCCTCCGCTTATGGTTCACCTTTATAGTCTGTACCACCTGCTGTTCCCTCCCTACCCCAGTCCATCATCAGACTGTCCGAACACCACTCCACCTGCACGGAAAAACAATAGTCAATCAACACCTCGCACCTGCCAAGGGGGAATAATCCTATTAATAATAATAATAATGATAATCATCTCTGCATTTGATGTATCGCCTTATCACATTGTCGAGACGTCTCAAAGCGCTTCACAGAATATACTGTAAAGTGAATTGACTGTGTATTATGTGGGTGAAACGCGGCAGCCGATTGCGCGCAGCAGCGTCCCACAAACAGGTGTGGATTGAGTGACCAAATTATTATTATTATTTTTTAATTCACTTCACTGCTAGCTAAATAGAGGCGGATGGGGTGAGGAAACTTGCCGAAGGTTTCTCCCTGCCTTGGAATCGAACCCGGGTCCACTTGCATGCGAGGCGAGTGCTCTAACCACTGCACTACAGGACTCCAGGTGCTCTCTTGCAGCACAGCTACTGTAAATGACAGTGATGCCTGTGTGTGGTGCGTACAGCGCACTTCCTGTCTCCGCGCTGGCTGTTCTCCTCTTTCAACACCTCCCACCCCCCCTTTCTTTCCCCCCTCTCCCACCATCACTAGCACCGTATCCAATCCAGCAGTAAGGTGTGTACTGTTACTCAATCACTCTAATGCTGGATTGCTCGATAGTCTTTACAAACTCTCACATTCCTCCACGCTTTTGTGACCCTAAGCTCCGATCCATGTTCCTGCTGACTGACTATCTGGCCTGATCCCTTCATCTGCTCTTCTCTCCCCTCCCGGCTCCCCTTCTCTCCTTCGTTGACTCCCGTAGACTAGTGGTTAGCGCGCTCTCCTCGCAAGCGAGAGGGACCACGTTCGCTTCCCAGGCGGGCTGAAACCTTAGGCAAGGCTCCTTACTCCACACTCCTCTGCTTACCTAGCTGTAAGAAAGAAACCGGTTGTTAGTCGATTGGCGGATCACTTTCCAGGGGCAATATTCCCCCAAACACAAAAGCATTTGATCACTAAATCCACGACTGTTTGTGGGACACTGCTGTGCGCAATTGGCTGCCGCGTTTCGCCCACAAAATACACAGTTCAATCCACTTTACGGTATACTCTGTGAAGCTGCTTTGACACATCTGAATGACATGACAAGATGTTGCATCAAACGCAAGCATTATTCTCTTTTGTTCACACGGTGTGCGCCGATGAAATCTACCAGTGACAATGCCCGGGAGGAATTATGATTTCCCGAGGGTGGGGTGGTTTACTATACACACAGGTGTGTTGACAACAGTTGGTCCTTTAAACCTTTTTTGTCTTATTTCCTCCTTCAATCTTCTCCTCTCCCCTGGCGTTGAAATACAATTCCACAAACGCCAACATTCCTCTGTCTTGCGCCTCACCCAAAACAAGCATTCTGTAGGTCAGCCTGGCTTCGGTTGATAGCACTCTCGCCTCTAAGTTAGACAGTTGTGTTTCAAGACCCACATTGGGACTTTGAGCTCACGCAGTCGAGACTGAGTCTTCAATACAGCGCTAGAGAGCCAATTGAGTAAAGCAGTGTCCCATAAAAACTGGTGGATTGAGTGACCAAATTTATTATATTTTTTTAAGGGAATTATTACCCCCTTGGAAAAGCGATCTGCCAGTCGACTAACAACAACAACAAATTGCACTTATATAGCACCCTCTGCGCAGGGTAGTGACTCAGAGCGCTTAACAGTGGCGGAGCCTGACTAACAACCGGGTTCCTACTTACCGCAAGGTAAACAGAGGTGTGTGGAGTAAGGAAACTTGCCTAAGGTTTCGCCCTGCCCGGGAATCGAACCCGTGTCCTCTTGCTCGTGAGGCGAGTGCTCTAACCACTACTCACCGAGGCCGAAAGTGTTCACTGTTGTGTGGGCTCCTCCACATCTGGTCCCTGACCAGTACGGCCTTCTTCCACCTCCGCCACATTGCCCGCCTCCAATCGTACCCCAAATGCAGCTGAAACCCTCGTGCATGTGTTTGTCACCTCCCAACTGGATTACTCCAACGCACTTCTCACCGGTGTCCCCAGCTCCACCATTCACAAGATCCAGCTCATTCAGAACTCTGCCACCCGCATACTGACCCGGACCAAACTCCATACCCACATCTCACCAGTTCTGGCTCAGGCTCCACTGACTTTGTGTTCAAATCCCTTCACTCCCTGGCACCTCCCTACCTCTCCGACCTCCTCACACCCCAATCCACCACCCGCGCCTCTGCTCGACTGGCACCGGCCTCCTGCTTGTCCCTCGCACCCTCCGCCCCACCATCAGAGGTCGCGCTTTCAGCCACTACGCCCCGAAACTCTGGAACACTCTCCCTCAATCCCTCCGCCTTGCCCCCTCGCTCTCCTTTTTCAAGTCCTGCCTGAAAACCTTCCTCTTCAACCGTGCTTATGGCCATCTCCCCCCCGGCTCAGAGTCAGGCTCCGCCACTGCTAAGCGCTCTGACACGCTGCCCTGTGTGGAGGGCGCCCCAGAAGTGCAAGTTGTTGTTGTTGGGCTACATTTGTGTAATTGTCTAAGAATAGGCTGTGAGGTTCCCAGGTCAGAATTTCTCCCTCAAATGCTCGCAGTGATCCGATCTGTCTCCAAACTGAACTGAAGGCCTTGATCTGCTGAGTACAAACAAAAAAAAGGAATTGTCAGCGTGGATGAAATTTCTTTCTGCGATGGTCACTTGAACTAAAATGCTGGGAGAGGGAGAAAGGAAGCCTTTCTAATTAAATCACCCAAACGACCAATTAACCCAAGGCACATATTTAATAGTGGTGCAGTATTCCACGTCAGTACTTGGAGTCACATAGACTAAGTTGACACTCGAATACAGTGCTGAGGGCGTATTGCATTGTCAAAGGTGCCATCCTTCAGATGAGACACTAAACCAAAGTCCCGTCTACCTGTTCACGTGGATGTTAACGATCCCAGGGCATTATTAGAAAAGAGAAGGGAGTTTCTCTCTCCTGGTGTCCTGGCCAATAATCCCCCAAATAAAATTGATAACTCGCTCCATGGCTGGTGTGTGCAATTGGTTTCTGCGTTTGCCTACAAAATGCTCAGTCACTGCACTTTAGTGTATCTTATGAACCCTTTGAGACGTCCTCCAGATGTAAAAGGCATCATTCCAATTGCAAGGAATATTATTAATAAATATTATCATTAATTCTCGGTTAACACCTGGCCTTCCCTTATCCCATTGTTAGCGCTTGTTAGTTTTCTTCATGAGAAACACATGTGAAGCTCAGAGTTGACACGACTTTCTGCTTGTTACCAGTTTCAGATTGCAGGAGTCCTGTAGCTCAATGGTTAGAGCATTCACCTTGATAGCAAGAGACCTGGGTTCGATTCCCGACAGGGTGAAACCTTGGGCAAGATTCCTTACTCCACACGCCTGATAATAAGATAATAAT